ATGCTAACCTCTGACCCCAGTTCACCAAGTGACCTCACCCTGTCCTCTCAAATGACTGTTAGAATCCAGCTCTGGCCTCCATTATGGGATCGCACATTTTTCTCTCATCAACCAGTAGCACAGTTAGATTTCTCAGTCAGCTAAAAATGGAAGTGCCCTTATTACACTTCATCGAAAATACAAACACACAAACCACAAAAGGTGTTGCAAATTAAAAACTCAATAGGAAAAGCTTTTATTTATCCTTTCATTCATGGGATGCATTTCAATTAAATGCTGTTTACAGGCATCTTGTGCTAGGGGACTCTCAGTAAGGACCAAGATTAAGAGCCACTTACCTTTCCATTGGGGCTTATGGTTTAGCATGTACATAGTAAGTAAAATCTACACTTCTGTCCAAAGAGCACAAGGTTCCTAAAGGAAATGGTTCAATGGCTCAATTTAAACCAATCCCAGCTCTGTTAGCTCCAGGCCACAAGAATGGATTTGAGAGAGAGGAATGTTACAATGCCAAGGCTTTTAAATAAAGAGATTCTGGTAGAGCAATTCATGGAAGAAATGTCTTCAGACTTTCCAGGTGAATATTCTTGGAATAGAAATGGGTTCTTTGACAAAATGAAAACTGAAGCATGGAACCAGAGGCAGAATCACCTTTTGCGGGCCCACTTGCCAAGCCCAGGGGAAAGTGACATCGCTGGGGCCTTGCTGCTACAGATGCCACCAGAAAAAGAGCTGAAGTCTTATCTGCTTTTCCACGTCAATGCTTCCGCCAGAACAAAGGCAGAAAAATCAACGCCAGAAACAAAAAGCACGCTGGAAACCTTCCGTCAGGGACTTTCAGAATAAGTTCAGTCTGACTCTAAATTATCTGAACATAATAAACTGGCATAAAGTCTACATTATCTATTTCACAGCAAGGACAAAGCCATGTTAACGCCAATTATTGTTTTGCCCTAGTCAAGAGAGCCTGGCATCCTTCTACAGAACAATTACCTATAGGTGCATAATACTTAAAAGCTAACCTCTTTCTCCATTTCAGCACGGAAAAAGTGCTGCTCACAGCAAATGGACATCATTTCGTTAGATCAGATTAATTTTTAATTCTATCATTCTAACAATTATGCCAGCTACCATGTAATTAATATTCCAACTGACTTCACAAAAATTAACAAAATCCCCTCAAGAAAACAATTAGTCATTAGGCATGAACGAGACTTTTCTATGGCCAACAGCACATAAGACGAAGAGTTCATCACATAATGGGTGGTATCAAAACCTTTCCCACGCGTCTTTCAGTCTTAGCCAGCAGCACGTAAAGCTGACACTGGCAACTTACCCCAAACTTCACTTAATATATGAATGCACTTGCTGGTTTAAACTCTTTGAGGGTAAAATGATGAATGATGAAAGCTTTAGCAATTAAAAAGCGCTTTTCATTTGTAAGAGGCAAGAAAAACACATTAATTGTTTGCCTCTTCCATTTCCCCAGCTGGAAATTAGAATCCGAGCTTGTTTCTTGGGGCTATTTTTTGTGTTTATTAAAGTCATATACATAAGGTATCCTCGGATTCTCCTTCCATTTCTCTTCTCCCTGGGTTTCTTTTTGGTGCATTTTTATAACCATCCTTAAATCCTTTCTCGTGTAAGGGAAGATATACATCAATGATAAACAGGACGCCTCTTTTGCCTGCAGTCCTCCTTGGAATGGTCAGTGGCAACCTAACCCCAGAGCAGAGTTGAGAGGACACTGAAGCCCATTCACAGAAAAGAGTGCCACGGATGATTAGTGATGTTTACCCTGGGCATGAGTAATAGTTTGGGGGCCCATGGAGCAAGCATTTGCCATCTCCATCCTTCAATTCATTATTTAAAAATTAGTAAAATGGTAATGGGCTTATGAATAAAACATAGCATATGAATTATTTCTAGGAGTCAGGTTAAAGTGAGGAAAGAGTTTTCTGTAATTGAGGCCAAAATGGACTAAGCCATCAAGTTCTGGGGGAAACATTGAGCTACGTCAAAAATCCAAATTTCAGTCTAGCTGGAGAGCCCTGAGCACGTCAATTCACTGGGCCTCAGTTTGCTTGGCTCTAAACTAGAGCTCAGACTCAAGAACCTCCTAAGCCGTCTCTTCAGTTCTGCTCACCAATGGTGCAAGCAGCCCCAAATCCCTTCTCTGCCGGTGGTACCAGGGAGCTGATGAAAGCACACTTTAGACATGCTTCATTTCACCAGGCAAACCAAGCAACCAACAACTCCAAATCCACCGAGTTGATGCCAACTCAGCGATATTACAGGGCAGGGCAGAAAGGTCCCCTGTGGGTTTCTGAGACCCTGACCCTTGCTGGGAGTAGAAAGCCCTGTGTTTTTCCAGAGGCAAGGCTGGGGATCTCTAACCGTGGACCTTGCAGATCACAGGCCAATGCGTAGCCACTGCCCCACCACATCATGCCTCACATTGCTCATTTTAAATCAATCACCTAGGGGAAATGTCTATGTGTATTTCTAGTCTGTAGCATCTCCCAGGGCGACAAGTTGTACCTGCATAATCCTTCTTTTCCTTGACACACCCTCTTTCACTGTGATGCTGATGCAGGGATCAAAAGCAGGGACTTCTAGTTCAATAATCCATCACTTGACAAACAATTGAGAACCACCTTGACTCAAAACATGTCGTCAAGTCAATTTAAACAGTCCCTTGTGGTTTCAAGATCAACCTAAATCTTTCCATTACTAAAAAGTCTGTCACGTTAGCCTATTGCAAGAGCAACCTTACCTACATGGTATATTGCCACCGCTTTCTTGTGCAAAATTCAAAACTTTCTACAAGGAATACAACCACAAATAAGTCAAACTGCACATCTACTGATCAGATCCCAACCAACTATGTAGTAAAATCAGATTTTAATAACCAAGAGTGTCCCTGGGAAAACAAGAGCATCTAATTCAAATAGGACAACCTGGAAAAGCCATGTTATCTGTCTATGGCTGGGCCAGTCCAGGTAACTCCTACTGATATCTACCACTTATCTACCCTGCGGTTCCTTTTTTCAGGTTCTTCCCCCTTCTTACTCCAAGGACTCCCACCTTCCAGGCTTCCCATGCCTCAGGTGAGGAGCTGGCCATTGAGAGAATCCCTTCCCCTGGATTCAATGCACCATCTCAGTGCCACCTATCAAGTAGGGCTAGAAGTCTTTTCTAGGGCTTAATGTGGACCCTAGGCAATCATCAGGTATACGGATCACGCATACCTGCAGTTACTAGCAAGGCGGGCGAGCTTGCATCTCTGAACAGGACATCGTGCTTGCTAAAGCGGAGAGGGAGGGAAGAAGAGGAAGCCCCTCAATAGCCCAGTAGCTGCAACAATGAGCTCAAACGTAACCAAAATGACCGTGGCGCCAGCTGGGCCGTGTTTCATTCTGTTATGCACACGGTCACTATGAGTCAAAACCAGCTGAGTGACACTCAACACCACCATCTTCCCCACCACTCGGAGAGCATCGGAAAGAAAGCGAGTCTCGAGGTGGCAAGACAGGTTGCTACCGCCCATCTGAGAAGCTTGACCTCGAACTAAGCCTCAGACTCAAAACTCCTGTATCTGGTTCTAGTTCATTGATCCAGTGAGGTCCTTTTTCTTTCTTTTTTTGCTTAATCTAGATTGAACTGTGTTTGGCACCAACAGACCAGAGTTTGGGAGAGAGGGTGTACAACCTTTATAAATGCATGCGTAGGAGCTTCCAGTTCTTTCTTTGGTGCTCCCTGGAAAAATCACCTTCTCCCTGATCTCAAGCTCAGCTTCCAGGAGTTCCACTTTACACAAAAGAAAACTAAAATACTCCCACAGAGACATCCAAACAAGAAACTGTGCACCCCAGGAGAACTGACAAGACTCACCTCTATTCCAAGACCTCAGAGGGAAAAGGCCTCTGAAAGGAAGAAAATGGAAAGTACGAAGCTGCTGAAAACCAAGTGTCAAAATGTCCAGAGCGGGAGTACAGCAGCTTTTTGAGAAAATCCTGCCAGGTGCACATTCCGACTTCCCATCATCAGATAAAGGGAAGACACTCACAAACACGCAACGGGACCCAGACAAAAGAAACTTGTCAGCAAATAAATGGTTTCCAAGCTGATGAGCCTAATTGCTCCCGTTACACTGGACTACAGGTTAGTTTTCCTTTTATAGCTGTCCTAGAGAGTAGGCCAGGCGTCCTCAAACTACGACCCGTGGGCCACATGGGGCCGCCGAGGACATGTGTCCGGCCTGCTGGGTGTTTTTGCCCCATTTTTTTTTACTTCAAAATAAGACGTGCATAGGAATTTGTTCATGGTTTTGGGGGTTTTTTTAACTAGAGTCCAGCCCTCCAACGGGTCTGAGGGACAGTGAACTGGCCTCCTGTTTTAAAAGTTTGAGGACCCCTGGTATAGGTCACAGGCTGGCCTGCTGAATGAAACATCAAATTTGATAAAGTGTGTTAAACTCCCTCAGATGGAGTCTAAAGTAATTTGGATAGCAATTAACAAGTAATCTAACAAGTATGATTGTAGTGGCGTTCTTCTACCACCAATAGGGGAAAAGATAATGGGCACAGCATTCACAAGGGGAGGAGCTAAGTGCTTAGACCACTAGTCCTTAAGAGTCTTGGACTCCTGGGAGAATCTGATAAAAGCTACAAACTCTCCCACACAGAAAATGCACAGACCACAACATTTAGCATATAATTCCAAGGGGCTCATAAAAGTTGCTCCCCATACCCAATTCCCAGATTACAAATCCTTGACTAAGAATATAAAAAAATATATTTAGCGACCTACATATCAGTATTAATCTCCAAAGACATCAAGAGACAACAAAGTACCTTTTCAAGAAAATTTTTAACTTCTATAATCTATATATTCCTGTGCTAAATCAGAAATCATTTTTTCCCTTTAGCCCTCACATTCTGCAATTTAGGATATGAGAAAACTTGAGTTTTCTTAGATTCGATTCTTCTATTACTTACCTTGTTTGACCATTTATACGCCTGAAGGAGTTGACTATACAGTGGAGTTTTGTCCTGCACAGGATCCAGGCTTAAGAGACCACTGTTATGAAGAGGATGGTTCTCAGATGGCTTGCCGACCAGATTGCTCAGCCGTTCCAGCTCGCTGGAAAGTAAACACATAGCCTAAGTAAGCTTATGTCCACTTAAACTCCCAAGGAAAGCCAAGCACCATTGTAAAAAAAAAACTGATCTTCGAGTTGTCTATTAGAAGTCCCTTTCAAAAGAAATAATTTTTTAAAAGTTAAATGGATTCAGGCCAATCAAGAAAACCCCTCATTGGGGGCTTATCTTAACTTAAAAGAGCTTCGTACCTGAATAAATGATGACGATTTATCATTCACATAGGGATAGATCTGTACATGATGCTTCACAGATGGTAAAACTTAACAAAACAAAGAAGAGATAAAATAAACAAATGGAATAGGAAGGCTCCACGGAGGGGCTGTGTCAAACACTTTAGCTGGCGGGAAAACTCCAACTAAGCCCGGGAAAGGGAGCCAACAGCAAAACTCATTCCAGGAACACAGTCTGAGGGCCAGTCCCAAGCGCCAACAAGAGAAGTTTCCTTGAGCATGCTAAGGTGACCAGATTGTACCATTGGTAAAGCGGGACAAAAGCGGGACACCATTGATAAAACTTATCTCCTGGCGAAATAGCCACATGGCAGCTGAAAACCGTCTACCCTAGCTTGTCGTTCATTCTTTCCAAAAATTGGGACTTTTTTAAGACGCCGTGGGACACGGGAAAAAATTGTTAAAAATCAGGACTGTCCCACCAAAAGTGGGACGTCTGGTCACCTTATCATAGCCTCTCATACCACATTTATTTTGGAATCAGTGGTCGCCTACTATTGTACAAAGATTTCAGAAGGCAAGGTGGGTGGGCACTGTAAACATATTGTACAAAGATTTCAGAAGGCAAGGTGGGTGGGCACTGTAAACACGTTAACCTTTCTAAGGTGGTGAAGTGTTGTTCTAATATTCTGAACTTTACAAAGGGATGAAAGTCCAAGAAACTGGAAATTTAAGAGAGGCATGAGCAATCAGTGCATTTTTCCCGGCAGGGTAAGTATTAATTGGCACTGTGCCAAGGAACAGCAAGTCGATGTGGGAGCTGGGGGTGTGTGTGAGATGTCTTGGCTTTTCCCCAAACAGAATGGCAACTACTTCAGGGGGTTGGGGGGAGGAGGCAAAGAGAGGCGCACATCAGTTGGCCACCACCCCCTCCTCCACCCTACCTCCTCCTTCCATCTGGTTACTAAAGAGACCCAAGTTAGGAGGGAGGGGGGAATTCAACCACTCCATAAGGCCTAGGATGCCTAACGCACCAAATGCCTTCCCTTCCTGCTCAGCTCAGTTCTGATCATTAAAAGGAAGGGCAAAAAGACTCTGAAAGTCTATCCTGCCTGGGAAGGACCCACTTTCCCTAAGGATGGGAAGGCAAGTTTAGGACTTCAGGACCTACCCAATTATAGAGTGCATGTTATGTGCCAGACATTTTATAAACATCCTTTCACTCATTCCTTACAACACTCATGAAACAGAAATAGAGGTTTGTTCCTTGATTTTTTTGGTTGTATAAACCTCCGTTTTAGCAGGCACTTTCAGGGAAAGAGATGCCCAATATTTTGAGCCCTCTACCCAGAGGGCACCCTAAAAAAAACAAAAACAAGTAGAGCAGATGAGCTTTGTAAGAAAGAAGGAAATGTACAATGCATAACCCTAAAAGGCCCAAATTGCTACAGGGGCTGAGGGGGGCGGGGCAGCGCTAAGTGAAAGTGAGTAAGATAGCCCCAAACTACCTTTATCAAGAAAGGCCTATCCAGCAGGTATCAGGTCGCTTGTTAAAGGACAAGAGGGAAAGGTAGGCCAGGACCTGTTTTGTCATTTGGGACGGGTAGAGGACAGAACCACGGAATTCCAGGTTTAAGGATCGGGAATCTGGGACTGGGATCCGGTGCACTTTAGTGAGTAACGAGCAGCCACCTGATCAGGTCTGATCTGGTCCTCTCCGCATTGCTTGCCCAGCCGGGGCTGGCGCCGAGGAGGGCCTACAGGTGACCAGTGTGTCAAGCTAAATGGGACCCGAGGCTGGAGGCAGCCAAAAGGCGGGAGGTGAGAAAGCGGGGGTGGCAGGCAAGGGGTCGCTAAGGGGCAGAGAGAGGCTGGGAGAGGAAAGACGACGGCGGACAAGGGAATGAGCGAACAGAACCTAACTCGAGACGCGCAGGGGCGGCACAGGGCAGGTTCCCCACTCCAGCCCCCTCAGCCGGTACCTACTTGAGGTCCCGGTTGACCGAATGTAAGTTGTCCTGGAAGTGCGCAATAAAGGCCTTCTCCCGGCCCTCCAGGGTCTCCTTGTTTCGCATGCCATCCTTTAGGCAGTCGAACACCCTGCTCACGCTGGAGCGCAGCGCCTGGATTGCGCTAATGGCCTGGGCAAAGGCCTCCAGATTCACGCCGACACTTAGCACGTCCGCCATGATGCCGCCGCCGCGGGGTTCCGAACGCCGGCTCTGCCGGCGAGAATCCGCGCTCGCTGATGACGTGTTCCGAAAAGGCCTCTGGGAAATGTAGTTCGTGCGGAGTGGCGTGCCCCAGGTGGTGTGCGGGGCACCATCGGGAAGAAGAGTTCCGCTGGAACTAAACGAACTAGGGGGCAGGACAATGATAATCGCGACTTGGGAAAGCCAGGTTGGACTCACGGTTTCCTTAATGGTGACAACGGGATACAAAAACTTCGCTCGTTTCTTCAAACTTGCACTCTAGGATTCAAATGGAAAAGAATTGTTCAGAGCAGTAAAGTATCCAAGGACGAATGCAAAAACTCATAACCTGAATCTAATCTAACCATGACACCAGACAAACCCAAAATGAGAAACATTCAACAAAATAACTGACTTCTGCATATATATATATACACACACGCGCATATATATACACACACACATATATATGTATATATACATATGTGTGTATATGTATATTACACACCTCATCACCAGGGCATATATATATATATATTCTGTGCCCTGAAAGAGAAAGGATTGAGGAACTATCCCTCATTAAAGGAGACTGAAATAGAGAGACGGTGAAACGAGGAAGAGCCTCAATGAGATGAATTAACACTGTCTGTAGTGACGGAATCAAACACAGCAATGATTGTGAGGATGGCACAGGAATGGACAGTGTTTGGTTCGGTTGTGCATTAGGTTACCAGGTGAGCCTGAACCGACTCCCTGACAACAGCAACAGGGACAAGGGGAGAGGACAGTGGTGATTCAGTGGTAGAATTCTCGTCCACCATGTGACCAATCCAGATTCAATTCCAACATCCCACTGTCCATGGAAACCTGGGTGTTGCTACAAAGCTTTCAAACTAAAACAGACGAGGAAGCAAGGTCTGGTGATCTATTTTCGAAAAATCAGCCAATGAAAACTGTATGGATCTGACAAAATAATAATTTATAAATGATCAAGGGTTCATGAGGGAGGGGACAGCGGGAAGGAGGGGGGAAATGAGGAGCTGATATCAAGGGCTCAAGTAGAAAGAAAACGTTTTGAGAATGATGAGGGCAACAAATGAACAAATGTGCTTGACACAATGGATGGATGGATGGATTGTGATAAGAATTGTACGAGCCCCCAATAAAATGATTTTTTTTAAAAAGAAAGAAAACCGTATGGATCACCAAAGTCAGATCTTCTTGTGCGCGATATGTCATGAGTCTGGCCCTGCTCCAAGGCCCCCGGCAGCAGCAATGCGGAGGTGTGCCACTGAGCACTCTGTGTGACTAGGATTTTCTGATCTCATTGAGACAGCTCGTGAAATCTGGAAAAGGTCTGCAGATTAGTTAATAGTATCTAATCCAGGTAACTTCGTGATTTTGTTATGTGGGCTGTTAGTGTAAGAGAATATCCCTAAAGGATAAAGTATGCATTATTTTAGCTGCATGAAAAATAAAATAGCATGGGTATATTGAGAGAAATAAAGACAAAGACAAGCATAGTAAAATGTGGCATCTGGGTGAAGGGCATATTGGGATTCTTTGTAGTATTCTTGCAATGCAACGTCTGAAATTAGTTGTTGTGAATGTCCACCTATGGAGGACAGGTAAACACAATATTTGGACAGTTTTTTTATTTTAATGGCCATCAAGCTGATTCTGGCTCAGAGTGACCTTGTGGGACAGAATAGAACCACCCCCACGGGCAGAAATAGACTGATACATCTTTCTTCTGCCAAGAACTTGGTGAGTTCAAACACTTCCGTTAGCACCCACACCTTTACACACCGCGTCACCAGGGCTCCCTACATACAGTCTCCCTCACAGCCCTGGAGTCGATGCGACTCATAACGACCCTATAGGACAGGGCAGAATTGCCCCTGCAAGTTTCTAAGACTGCCACTCTTTAGTAAAGAGTAGAAAGCCTCACCTTTCTCCCTCAGAGCAGCAGGTGGTTTTGAACTATTGACCTTCCGGTTAGCTGCCCAACTTGTAACCCACTACACCACCAGGAATCCTTATACAGAAAGTCTTCCGTTCTGCCAGGCTAGTCTGAGCAGGATTGTGAATGTATGTAGTTCACCTCAGCCCAAATGCCCTAATAATGCCCTACTTCCCACCCAGCTCCTCCCTCTCACCGTTGATGTCACCTCCTCAATTCAAATCTTCTTCTAGTTTGGGAATTATAAAAATAGCGTCTGCTAAAAAAAAACACACTAGTCTCGAACATTGCTTTCCATGAGACAAATAACTCTCTAGCATTATTTAAACATTCTCTAAATGAATAACTACATCAATGTGAAAGAGACCCATTCTGTTGCCCAGTCTTCCTCTGTTGTTATCTGGGTTTGTATGTCGGTTCTGAAGTGGGAAGTCTCTGTCGGCTGATTTTTCAGAAGCCCACCACGAGATCTCTGTGTCGTCTGTCTTGATCTGAAAGCTCTGCTAAAACCTAGTCAGCCTCACAGCAACTCAACGAGCCATCAGCGACACGGGAGAAGTGGGGGGTGTGGGACGGCACTGCGGGGACTGCACCTAAGGGACACTGGCCAGGAATCAACCCTCAGTCCCTTGCATGAATGATGAGAATTCTGCTGAACCGCCGTCAACCTCATGAAAAATAGGTGGTTGCTTTCCTTTTTGCAGGTCTTCTCTTCTTTGACTGTTGTCGGTGACCGCTTTGCTTAAGGGGGATGCTTGGGGAGGGTAGGACATGTATAGCTGTGGGCCTCTCAACAAAGTATTGAGTTTCCTCAGTTTACTCCTTTATAAAATAAGAGTTACTGTGAGCTTATTAATACTCTCGTCTTGAAGCTTTTGCATTGGTGTCTAGCATAGGATAAGCACTCCGGAGATGCGGCCTGTTAGAAGAATGTAGGGTGAGAGGTTTTTGACAGGTCGATCACTTGGACTCCTGTACCCGTTTGAGAACTCCGCAGGAAATCAAGCAAGGATTAGTCATAGAACTATTAGCTCAAAGTCTCTCTCATGTCCTGACCTTGTGCGGATAGCTGATCAATTAACTGCCTTAGAACTCACTGTTTCGAGTGGTCGTTTCTTTCCAGTGTGGAGCCCTGGTGATGTAGTGGTTACGAGTTGGGCTGCACGCCGCAAGGTCAGCAGTTTGAAACCACCAGCTGCTCTCCAGGAGAAAGACAAGGCTTTCCACCCCCATCAACAGTTGCTGTCTCGCAAACCCACAGGAGCAGTTCTCCACTCTTCTGTAAGGTAGCTGTGAGTTGGCATTGACTGTGTGGCGTTTGGTTTTTCTATCTCTCTTTCCTTTGAAATACATACGCAAGACAAACAAGCTGCTGTCCTGTCACCTCTTACTCATCGACATCATGTAGGACAATTATAGACTTCTATAAGTCTTTATAGAAGCAGACTGCCATTTATTTCTCCCAAGGAGCGGCTGGTGGACTCAAACCATCCACCCTTGGCTTAGTTCTTGAGTTCACTTTAATGACTGTACCACCAGGGCACTTTACCATATAAAACTATTACCATCAAGTCTATTCCGATGTACAGGGTCTTCTTTAAGGTTCCTGGAGCAGACAGCCTCGTCTTTCTCCCACATAGCTGCTGGTGGGTTTGAATGGCCAACCTTTCGATTAGCAGCCCACCTACTGTTGTTGTGGTTTTTAGGCTTTTGTAGAAATTTTCGTTTTTTTTTTACTTAACAAAAGAAGAATATATTATCTACATTAGATGGCTTGTTTGGGGTTTTGACTGCGATGTGTTCATTCTTGCTGGGAAGAAGAGTAACCCATTGCTAATTGGTTCCTGCTCATAGTTAATCCGTCAGAACAGAGCAGAGCTGCCTCACAGGGCTTCTAAGACTGTGATCGCTGCTGCCCTTTTGGTTATCAGCCAAGCACTTCACCACTGCCCCACCAGAGCTCGGTAGGGAAAGAACAAGACCCTCTGCTGTTGAGTGGATTCCAACTCCTGTAAGCCGAACAGTTTCCTAGGGTTTCTGAAGCTGTGCATCGTGTTACAGAAGCGACAAAGACTTCAAACCCGAAACACAAACTCAATGCCATCCAGTCAATTTCAACTATTGGGGAAAGAAAAACAAAAACCTCATTGCCGTTGAGTCAGTTCCCACTCATGGTGACCCTACAGGTCAGGGTAGAACTGCCTCTGTGGGTTTCCCAGACGATATCTCTTTATGGGAGTAGCAAGCCTCATCTTCCTCCCAGGGAGTGGCCGGTGGTTTTGAATTGCTGACCTTTCAGTTAGCAATCCTATGCCTAATGCACGACTCCACCAGCGCTCCTGGAGAAAACAAATTTCGCAATCGTGTTTACTAGCTATTTAGGAGAAGACCAGCTGGTGCTGTTGATTAGACATTGGGCTACTAACTGCAAGGTTGGTGGTTCAAACCCATCAGCTGCTCCATGGATGAAAGAGGAAGCTGTCTGCTCCCATAAAGGGTCCCTTCAAATTGGAATCAACTCGATGGCGGTGGATTTAGATTGGGGAGGCGGTGAGAAGATAATTCATGCTGAGTACCCATCTATTTTTGCTCACACCTGTATATGCCCCCCAAACATGACATTTTGCATATAAGTTTAGGGAGTTCACTGCCTACCAAAGGCTGAAACACGGGCCTCTGGTTAAGCACCATGTTTCCCTTTGAACACCACGAAGGTCTGATCCAAGACTATCTGGTTGGCGCCCCTTCCTGAGGTACAATGAACACTCAGTGTGTTTCTAGAAACAATGAGTTAGGACAATCTATTACATTTGCCTCCTTAGATCCTCTCTCCAAATTACTTCCTCTCTTTATGTACTCAGATCACATGTCCCCCTCGTGCCCAGCCTGCCTCCCTACCCCACGCCCACACACACAGTAAGTTTTCCTTTATCTCATTCTCTGATTCAGTGGTTCAGACTCTGATTGGCACAATAAAGTACAAATAGGCTCTGCTCCCACAGTCATTAGTTTTCAGGATTTCTCTGTGGCTCCCCT